AAAAGATGTGTGATCAAATAAACAGATAGAATGACAGCCTTACTAGATATCCTAGGAGATGGTGAACGGACCGGGTACATAGAGAACCCTACCGTGAACGTTGTCTCATACCGGACGGGGTATAGAGACTTGGTAATTTGGCGCTTATACCGGACGGGGTATGGGGATGGCCCGCTTCACCCTCATACCAGACGGGATATTGAGATTTAATGTCTTTGGTGCTCATACCGAACGGGGTATAGGGACGACCCTGTAATTGATATTGTTAAGGGAAAGGGTTCACGTGTAGCAGGGACACCCCTATGAACCCCCATGGATACTAGTAGGTTGGTGAAACGAGAAACTGTTATGATTTAGTTTATTATTAATAAATATGAATTTATAATATGTTCTATATTGCTGATTGTTCATGAAGTTATGATTTGTATGGTATTATTGTCTTTATAGGTTGTTTTCATAAATTCCACAATAGTAAGTGAACGGTAAATAATTTTATGATTGATAAACGAATTTGCTAAATTTAGTGCTCCATTAGTTGTTTTAATTTTCTATCAATTTTTACTTCTATGTCGGTGATATAGTGTGATATCCTTACTGGGCTAGTGTAGCTCATTCTTTATTTAACTATTTCAGATCAAGAGAACCTGGTTCCAGAGCCCGATCCGCAAGAAGATTGCGAGTAGATGCTAGATACTTTCTATTTTTCATTACTTTTCTTATTTCTCATGTTTCTTTCAGAGAATTCATTCCGTAATGTTTGTTTAGTACTTTTAAGTTATTGTGTAAGGGATATAAACCTTAACCTTTTATTTCGCTTCTACACTTAAATTATTATATATCTCCTTTTAATTTCTGGGGCCGTTACAATCCCTCACTCTATTTCCTATCATAGAATTGAAGTCAAAATAAATAATAATACGATATTTTGTGTGAATTTAAAAAATATGCATAATTAATTACGGATTGCTAATAAAGCTAGAATCAGAAATTATCTACTATTGTTTGTTAATTGTTTTACAGTTTATATGCATAATGATATCTCATTAATTTGTTTTATAGTTTTGAATACATGTATGGTTTATTTTATGTGTTACTGTCGAATCGAAAAAAAAGAAGGTT